ATGTATATAGATATAGATACTCGTAATACCGGTAAGTTTTGAGCCATATTTGTCAAAAATCATATTTCTTGTGACAGCTAAATTACAATGATGTCGTCAGAAACCCCTATTTCAATATCGATTATACATTAGTCCTCGTGTTTCAGATTGCAAAAAGCGTGCATTCAAATACGCCGCCTTTCAGTGATCCACGTTTATCATGAACTTTAATATCCAAATGTTTATTTGGGAAAAAAGGGGGTATTCTTGAGCTGAATATTTTCCCTCTTAATAAATGACACAGCTTTATTTTACAGATTTTGCATGCCCATTAAAATTTTTATTGTAAGAAGCTTCAGGTCAATGAAAATTAATTACGCTGTTTTTGTTGTTAATTGAACAATTTCACTGGGGATGGGAAAAAATCATGTATCATATACGTATCAAACATTTGTTTCTAATGTATTGATTTAAAATAAGTAATTATAGTTGGAGGAGAAAAATCTTGATTTCTACGGGATATTCACAAGATCATCCTCCGATGAAAAGTTCTCTTTCTCAGTTGCTATACCTAATTATCGGTTAGTTCAAATAGAGTAAACTGTACATTAGAATCGAATAGCTTATCTGTAAACATAATCACATTTATATCCCCCAAAATTACTAAAATCAACTCAATGAAATACGGTAAAATTACACATGACCTATGCGTTATTTACATCAGTGGGTCTTCGAGACGTCCTAAAAACATAAAATCAAGAACGATAAGCGGATATCAAATTTATCAAGTGGACAAGTTTAGGCCTTCATTTTTCAGTTAAGCAAAGGCAATTTTTTTACTAAACGTAATTAAACATTCTATGTCTTCATGTTTAAAAAGTAGAATCCTAGTGTAAAGAACCCTTTCATATGACCTTTAAATAGAAGATGATAATTAAGAATTTTGTGGTACGTTTACTTATTATTCCCGAATTAGATCATCCCCCCAAAAAAGATTTGAACACTGAAATCTAAATACTAGAATAATTTTAATAATAATGGCCGCGGAAAGCGAGGATCGAATTGTAAGCTTCGACACACAGCATGGTAGTGTTGATAAGGTGAAAGTTAATTTTTTTAACTTTCAAAAATCTAAGATCATATACACCTTTAGATTTACATCTATACCAGCACTACATGGATAATTTGGTTGGAAGCTGCCTTTCCATACACACTGCATTAGCGCTGTAAGATACTGGAACCGTTTACTGACAATGGAGGACAACCGTATAACAAAACATGTTATCTTTTGGGAATTAAATCAATGTAATAAAATAGCTGGACATTGCAAATTAAAGAAGATGGGTGAACAAGGCGGGCGAAGTGCCTATAGTGCGACAAACATGAAGTGAAAAATAAAATCTCAATTATATAAAAATTTTCTTTGATATTTCATCTACCATTAAAGTATATTTTATGCTAAATCTCTACAATTTACAAAAATCTCACGAAGACTGAAATTATTTGCCTACGAAATAGCATACACACACTTAAGAGGACAAAAAGGATCATTTTCTCACACTTTAACAATTTTTTCGATATGAGTGGGTCTTCGCTCCATTTTTTTGAAAGTTGATCCTAAAAGTTTGCATAAAAATATACATTTTTTTGTTTACAAAAACATGGAGCAAAGACCCACTATACCTTAAAAGTACACTTTTATGACAAAGCATTCGCATCTTTCCGAGAAATACTTGAAGTCCATTAAGTCAAGGGTCATATCACAAACATGATTTAAATGCCACTATTCGTCAGGAGCTGCGTGGCTTAGTGGTTAGCGTGTTAGTCCCAAAAACAATATGATACTCCGGATTTTTATTGTTAGGGGTTCGAATCCCAGGAATACCATTTTATTTTTTTAATAAAAGAATATTTTTTTTCCGAGATCTTTTTTCTCAGAAAGTTTTGTTGATCATAATTTCATAAATTTCAATAATGAGAACTTTATTTTAAATACTTAATTCACAAATTGAATATGATTTTATTGATATCTTAAGCTATAGGCATTCTGCACGCCTTGATCACCCATCTTCTTTCTATTTGAATCAGTTAATTCTGAACACGTTTATAATAGGTTATTACTGTTTGACATTGTTGAATTTGAACGAAAATTGATTTTAAATTATGAGAGTGCTGAAATAGATATAAATATTTTGAGGTCTGCGTGGGAAAATTTGTTAAAAGCACTCGTCTTCTACTTCATCTATAGAAAAAAAGGAGAAGACGAGTGCTTTTTATTACATTGTACTAAATATTCAAATTTCAGAACAGATTTATTTATTAGCATTAAATGCAGCCCCACTTTGTCTATGTCAGATCTAGAAAGTGTAATTTTCCATTTAACAAATTTTCCTAGGGAGATCTCAAAATATTTATATCTATCATACATGCACAGGCAATGTTTGTTGTGCAAAAAACGCTATGCGTAATATATATATATATATATATATATATATATATATATATATATATATATATATATATATATATATATATATATATATATATATATATATATATATATATATATATATATATATATATATATATATATATAATTTATTTTTGTTAAAAGTGACATATAGGTCCGATGGGCTTGGTGTTTGAATATTTAATTGCATTAAATGATTCTCATTGTACTGTAAAACACATGTCACTATAATAGATGATTTACTTACTTACTTACATACATGCATAAATAATGATTAGACCGACTTTAGAATAATGTTTTTTTACCCTCTCCCGACTCGGTAAGTAGGTGAGAGAATTTGTTTTTCCTCAGAAAATTTCATTGCAATTTTTTTTAAATTCTAGGTACATGAAAAAAAATATTTACTCCATTTTTAGCCAGTCGGTCAGGAAAGGGCAACCAAACATTGTTTTAAAGATGGCCTTAGCGTTGAATATCTAGCCAGAAGAAGTACCTTAATAAGCTAAATCCAAGCAATGAAATTTTTGGTGAAGAACAATTCATTTAGGACAGATTCAAATCCTTTATGGAACAAAAATTCTGCATTTGATCATACATAATAAGTAAAACTGTCGACTCTATGTTGGCCTTTTAACTGCCGCTAGGGTTCGATGTAAAGAACGATAACTCATTACCGGAACTTGTTCACAGCAGGTCGGAGGAAGCTGATTGTTTTTAAGCAGGTCGAGTTTTAGCATTTTCCAAGTGTTCCTTCATTTTCAGCGGAATCCAATGATTTTAAAATTTAGAACAAATGTCAAACTTATTTATCATGTTATAATTACCAACACTGTATACTAATATATAAGCGAAATTTTTAATTTGAATACAAAGTGAAATCTACCCCCCCCCCCTTCCTTCTTAATTTTATCCTGGTTAAATATTTATAGTTGGTATAAATTTTTATACTTGGTATAATAGTTAATGATTTGTTGCATTTAATTGTAGAAATATATATCTGTATAGAAGGCGCACAACAATGCACCCGCAGAAAAAGTGAGATTATATTTCCTTCTTCATAAGAACGGTCAGAGAGTTAAAAATCTTGAATATACATATAGTCAGTTCCCCATTCATTTGCTCCCAATATTTCAGGTAAACTGAAGACATTCTCCTTGTTTGGTCAACCCTTTTGTGTACAAAACAATGTAAGGAACCTTTTGTGTACATAACAATACCATTTGAAGCATCGTATATGTCATTCCTATAAATGATAACTCATTAGCATTAAGTGAGGAGCTATATTTTGTGGCGGAAGTTTTTTTTTAGAAGAAAATGATCATTTTTTCTCTTTCGAAGTATTCAAAGTATGTTAAGTTTGGACTCCTATTTTTACATGCAGTCTACACACATAGTTATTTTGTGCAGTGGACTGTTTCATACTGGTCCTAAATTATCTATTAAATAAACTGTCATGAATTCTATCATCATATTTGATAAATATAGCAAATATATTGTGAAAATGAAGAAAAAAAAGCCCTTATTTAAGCTTAAGATTAGCTCTATTTCAGTAGTATCTAAAAATTAACATCACAAACCCCAACTTTTAATTTTCTTTTCTGAATATATACGATACTTTTAACCATTCTTCTTAAATTCAGTAAAATGTCATTACTTTCAAATGATATTTTTGCTGGTTAAATTTTAAATGCCAGAAAAATGAAAATGTTTGAGTGCAAAAAGGTCAAATAATTGAACATGCGGAGTAATTTGAAAATTTCTTCATTGTCACAAATTTTAATGTGTCTTATTAAGATGAAATAAGACTGTTTTTGTTCCCATAATTTATTTGAACAAAAAAATTGGAGGAAAAATTTTGAAAATTGATTATGTTTAAGACGTATTAACAGTGCAAAAAAATGCTCTGTAGCGCCAAAAGAAGCGCATTGGCCCCCATTTTTTGTTTTGATATTTAATAAAGCTATGTGTTTGAAAATATGCTTGATAAAAAATTCACATTACTTTTGATGGCAGGATCCAACCTCCTTAAATTACCTGTCTTTAAAACACAACATCTAACAAGTCAATTTTTAATAATTTTTTTATGATATAGTTAAGGGTATGTATAGGATGTAATATTTGTTAAAGAATTTCACGTACCTACAAATCTATCAATCAAATGTTTGTTTTTTTTCATAATAGGTGCAACTTGAAAAATTAGTTGAAAGACCTACTCTGTGTGCAAACCATTACATTTAAGCAATATGTATTACTTGATTAAATCATCTTCATATCGAGACATCACGCATCAAATGTTTCGGTGACATTTTAAACTGTACTTGGTGAACTTCAAATATACTTATAAAACTGAGTTCAATAAAAATATTTTGTTTTTAATGTTTTTTCATTGTATCAATTTTATTTTTAACTATTCGATTAGTTATCTCCATCTTACAGAACTAGTAAACAGATACAGGTTATTTCTTATTCTCAGTTTATTTTAAATGCATAAATAAACAATAATTTGAAATTTCAACATCTTTGTCCAGATGGGCCCACAGAAAGACATATATTCACAAGAGTGCTTATTTTATTCAGAAACTTTATTAAAACTTGGAATTAATAGAACACAAATATTAATAAAAATAAAAATGTGTATTTTATGAACATTGCCTATCAGTGACTCGTGGTAATAGTAGTCTATTAAATTAGCTATCCATTTCCTTTTTTATTGATCTGCATCTGTAGAGAAAAAAAAAGCAATATAAAAGAAAGATCAACAGCAAAACTTTACTTTCAACTCCTCATACCTTCGATTTCTAAATAAAAAAACAAATTAAGCCTAAAATTATCAAAATACGCAGAAATTAATAATAAGAATGACAGATGTTTTCCTAGTGACGCCTGATCAACATCAGTGTCCCCTTCACATATTTCCCTTTCCCTACTGTAGGATACCAAGGTACGGAATAACGTGCCGGTGACCATTGACCGTTGAGGAAGGCGTAGGTACACCAGTTAAACCACCAGCCTCCTCCTCCATAAGCAGCACAGTTATCTTCACTATTTCTGTCATTATCCTTGTCTGGTTTACTAAAGTTCATCCCAGACAAATCTTTGTCAGAATCACCAGTGTTTAACATTCTGTCACCTGTAGAATTAAAAAAAATATTCAAAACGTAATTTAAATAAGGCTTTTCACTGTCAATATTTGAAATGATTAAAATCAATTATAAATACCAAACACAGGATTTGAAAAAATAACACGAACTTTGAGATAATTTGAATGAACTTTTATACCTAAGAAAGGATGTCAAACAAGTTACATGGACTCTGAAATGATTTAAATGAATTGCTCACACCTAACTCACGATTCAAACAAGTTAACAAGTTACATAAATTTAAAAATAGCATTTTATCACGTGTTATGTAGATTGTTATTATTATTATTAATAAATGGGGTATTGATATTCGTTGTTAAATCTATTTCTTTAACTTAATTCCACTCGACTCAAAACAATTCTCCCATATCTAAGTCATATAGTCAACAAATATGAATACTTCAAAATGACGTTCATTAATAATAACTCTTTCTACGTTGCATTTCTCCTGCTAGATCTATTATTTTTTTTATAACATATCTACAAAATCATAATTCAAGCTCTTGCATAATCTTATCAGCCTATTGACACCAAATAAAACAAGCAAATTCAAAGAATTGTGGTCCCCCGCATTCGGTGTCTTAGTGAATGGAATGCCATTATATATGGCATATTGTGTCAAATATGAACGCCCTATCATATGTCATTCAAAAGTAATCGACAAAGGTAAAATTTTAAATTAGGTCAAACATGATGGTGAAGGGGTAAAAAATTATTGCATGCGCAGAAACATCTTGTCACAGGTAATGAACATGTAAAATATGAAAGCCCTATCTCTTCTCAATCAAAAGTTATAAAGAAAGATAATATTTTTGAAAAGTTTGTCAAACTTCAAAGTCAAGGTCTAATGGTTAAAAATCATAGTATTTTTTAAAAAGGCCTTATCACAGGTAACATATATGTCTAATATTAAAGACCAATTTAAAGTAATATTAATTTTTTTGAAAAGTATGTCAAACTTCAAAGTCAAGGTCATATAGACAAAAATCACAGTATATTTGAAAAAGTTTTGTCACAGGTAATGTACATGAAATATATGGAGATAACGAACAGTATTCAAGCTCAAAAGTCCATTAAACAATACAAAATAGGAGCAGAGCAAACACGGACCTCTAAACATCAGAGGTGGGATCAGGTGCCATGGAGGAGTGAGCATCCCCTGCCGACCGGTCACACCCGCCGTGTGCTCCTTGTCATGATCGGGAAATAACAGAAAAATCCGTCGACAATTCAGTGTGTAAATAATGGCCTAACAATTAGTATGAAAAACGTCAGTCAGCATTTGACTCAATGATAAATTGTACTTGCTGACAAGGTCATTGTATCGACCATAGAACTTACGAAATGATGACTTTAAAGGAGACGGCTTATATTCTTGTTTCATCAACTTGTTTGTCAATAATTTACCTCGTTTTAGAAATTGTACATACGTAGAGCATGCTCTTGCGTATCGAATCAACTGAGAGATATATACCCCGCAGGCAGGTGATGAAGGTATACATAAGTAAGGGAAGTTGACGATTGAAAAGTTAAAGTCATCACGTTTATCATAAAGCTATAAAGCTTGGTTGTTAGATTACCATTAACGTCTTTTTCAAGTAAAATATCCAAATATGAAACAGATGTATCAGACTCTGTGGTATCTTTTATCTCAAGCTCACCAGGATATATCGTATCGACATAAGAATGAAAATAGCCATTGTTAATTGACAATACGTCGTCGATATATCTAAATGTCGAGTTGAAGGCCACAGCAAGTGTTTTCTTCTTTTCACGTAAAATATTTTGGACAAATTCTGCTTCATATGAATACAAAAAAGGTCTTCCAATAACGGGGCGCAATTGGTACCCATGGGTAAGTACATTTACGAGTTACATGTGAAATATGAAAGCCCTACCTCTTCTCATTCAAAAGTTATCACCAAGGTTAATGTTTTTGTGACAGACAGACAGATTGACAGACTAATGAGATTTATTGTTTCCTCGCTTTTGCAAAAGCGGGGACAATTAAATAATTTAAAACCAATGGTTTTATGGTGAAAAATGTGACATATAAATAAATCAGGTGAAAAGAATCTTTAAAAAAATGGTAAATCATTTACACACACAATGACTGTAGCATAAAATATTTCAAATTATTTTTCTAACGCAATAAATAATTTTGTCAGAACTTATCATTTATATCAATTTTTGTAGATACACGGAAAATGATAAAGGTGTGAGTACTATTTTTAAATAACGTACCTTCGAAATACTTTGACCTTATTAAAAAAGAATCATTGTTTTGAACTGGGGGTGGGTCTACTCAAGGATAATAAACAGAGGTTACATATACATTTTGCTTGTGGAAAACATGATATTAAATTAAAATTGCCAAAGCCCTTTTTATACATTAAGCATGTCTCATCTCCTTCTAGTTATTTTTCCCTTCTTCACTTCTCTAACACTATCTCTTTTTATCGATAGTCAAATATTCTTTCCCCTCTCTCAAACACAATAGTCACGCAATTAACTTATTACTTACCCAAGGTTCCGGAAGCAGTCCCTCCAAGAAAGAGTCTGTAGTTATCTATTTCATCATTGATAGAAAACTGCTGATATAGTTCATACAAAGTTGTACCATTTTGTAATGTAATGGAGACGTAAAGGGATGAGCTTTCTCGCTTGGTAAGCTGGTGAATGACGTCATTTCCTTCAATACGTTATTGAAAGTGGATGAGGTATAAAAAAAGTACATTGGAATAGACTGAGTATTCTCATATATGCTTTTTTCATGAGCATTGAATTTGTACTGTATTAGATTTAACAAAATATTAATTGCGAAAAGTGTTAATATAAAGAATTCCATTCCTTAAAATGTACGCAGATGAAAATAAGTAGACTGCTTAAGATACTAACAGATATAAATAAACATTTACCAATCCAGTATGAGTCATCAGGGTTCCCAAACCCATTCTTGTAGTCCGCCCACGTTCTGTTAAAATTCACTGATATATTCACCCGTTTCTGAATTGCCTACAAGTTATCAACAGAAAATAAATATCCTGAAGTCTGACAATCTGTTCATCTTTTTGTTTTGTCTTACTTGTAATTTCATTGAGAGAGAGAGAGAGAGAGAGGGAGAGAGAGAGAATCTTACTGTCCACCCTCCACCATCAATTTCCATATCACAGTACCCGCTGACCAGGGTCTCGTTATCAAAGGGATATATTTCATAAACACCAGACTCCGTTAGATTACAACCTTGAAAAAGAACGACACTTAATTATAATAATAATAAAAAATAGAGAGAGAGAGAGAGAGAGAGAGAGAGAGAGAATACCTTTCTTAGCAGTTTGCAATGTTCTGTTATTTAAAAGGGCGTAAATTTCGACAATGTTTCTGTTAAACTTCTGCTCAATTTCCTGAATCTTGTTCTCGCAATTCATTTTAATCTTCTTGTTTTCCCTTCTCTCTTCTCTGTTTCCGACGCAAAGAATTAACCTGTGTTTTCAATGTATCTACCGTGTGCTTTGAAGCGGTATCCTTACTTAGAGTGTCAAACCGTCTTTCCAAATTTTCTATCTTCTGTACTAAAATCTTGTCCTGACTAATCTGAATATCTACCTGTCTTTTTACCGATTCTACCGTCTGCGCTAAAGTATTGTCCCGAATTAAAGAATTAACTTGACTTTTCAATGTATTTAGTGCCTGCTGTAAAGGGAGACCATCGTTTCTGTAGACGCCATGCTTCGCTTCACAGAACTAACGTCGTCCACTAATGCCTTTACATCCTTGACCATGGCTAAACGGATGAGAGTTTCCTCGTTGATGATCTGCCGATTAACGTCGATTTCCTGAATGTCACGTCTTTCATTGATCAAAGCCGTAGAGTTCGGATCATACATACCGGTTAACAAGGACCGGTGATATTGATATAAAAAGCAGTAAAAGAATGGAAAACATCATCCTTTCAATTTCAAGGCGAACTTACCAGAGCAGAACAATGTTGTGTCTCAATCAGAGATTTCATACGGTATATTTAGAAAGGTTTGGGGATTTCCTCAATCAGAAGATGCCATATGGAGAGATGTCTCGGGATTTCTCAGTATTAGCGGGATGTAAAAACCAGAAATACTTGAAAGTACATATTGTTTGAAGTATAACAGGAATCACTTTCACTGGGCCAAAGGATAACATAACTATCTCACAAAATGTTTTTGATTATGTCATTAAAGGTGCTTAGACACAGATTTAAACTTAATATTTTCTCAAATTTTCTGTATAATACCACGACATATATATTGCAATATCATTTCACTCGAAAATATAATTAAAATCTTATTTTATCTGGATATTATTGGAACTACGAATTCCGGGACGCGTTTGATTAACACATCTTTGCACTTACACAAATTTTAACTTTATCCTTAATATTCAAGAAAAGAAGCGATTTTGCTATGTATAAATGAAAAATATTACATCTAAAACGCAGAAAATTCAGAGTAGAAATGTTCGAAAGCAAAACCAACTCACCAGTATTGTCAGTCCGTGTTCTGTGATGTGTACAGAGTTTAACAAATTTTAACAGAGTTTAACACACCCGTGAAACGTAAACTGCTTTTGTAAACAGGGCACGAGCTCTGTTATTGTTAATGTTTACGATTCACCACTGAGCACGGACTTACAATACTGTGAGTAGGTTTTGCTCTCGAACATTTCTACTCTGAATTTTCTGGGTTATAGTTTTAATATTTTTCATTAATACACAACAAAATTGCCACTTTTCTGAAGTATTTAGAATAAAACTCAAACACGTGAAAGCGCAAGGATGTATCAATCCAACACGTCCAGAAACTCGAAGCTGTAATAACTTCGAGATGAAATAAGATTTTTATTATATTTTAGTATGAAATGCTATAGCAACATATAAGTCATGAAATTTTACAGAAAATTTCAGAAAATAATAACAAATCTGTGTTCAAGCACCTTTAAGGTGTTTTCTGTAGAAAGAGAAAAGATAATAAAACATAAGTACTCTGGCAATTGAAACTCTTTGCTGTTTTCTGTAGAAAGAGAAAAGTTAATAAAACATAAGTACTCTGACAATTCAAACATTTTGCTGTTTTCTGTAGAAAGAGAAAAGATAACAAAACATAAGTACTCTGACAATTCAAACATTTTGCTGTTTTCTGTAGAAAGAGAAAAGATAATAAAACATAAGTACTCTGGCAATTGAAACACTTTGCTGTTTTCTGTAGAAAGAGAAAAGATAATAAAACATAAGTACTCTGACAATTCAAAACTTTGCTGTTTTCTGTAGAAAGAGAAAAGATAATAAAACATAAGTACTCTGACAATTGAAACACTTTGCTGTTTTCTGTAGAAAGAGAAAAGATAATAAAATATAGGTACTCTGACAATTCAAACACTTCGCTGTTTTCTGTACAAAATGAATTGAAACATTTTGCCGTGTCATGTAGATATGTTAACAAAACAATTTAAACTATCATATGCTACGTGTTTATTTCACACTTAAATATATAAGTACTTCCTGTAAAATACAGACAAAGAACCTAAGAATATGAAATCTTGAAAACGAATTGAGTTTTTCTATATTTTATGTACTTGACCAGCACAAAATTCACAATGCAGACATACTATTAGGATTTTAACGATGAAAGAGTACAATCAATATAGGATCGCAGCATTTTTTACAAACTTCAATAACTTTTAAAAACATTTATAAATTTAACTTTGAATTTAAACTTGGTTATGCCCTTGCACTACTGAAATTTATATGTGACCTAGATATTGCAGGTTTAAGTGCTAAAATTACGTGATTGTCACACACATGACGATTCTAAATAGAAAATCTAATCATCCTCAATATGTAGTTAATAATAATAATTACATTTGTCAGATATAAGAAAGGTATTAAAAAGAAATGTTTTCCAGATTAAAAATTTATTTTAGATCACAAACAAGCGCTTGTCCTTCCCCGGTTAAAAAAAAATGGTAAGTAGGTGAGGGATTTTTTTTATTCATATAACATTATATAATATAACTTTGAAATGAATAAAAAAATATAATTGTTTCCTTGAGGTTAAAATGTGCTAAGTCGGGTAGTTTTTAAGCAGTCGGTCGGGAGAGGATAAAGAAACAATTTTTGATAGAAGTTCTGACCAAAGAATATTTTAATCACAAGAATCATTTCACTTGTAAGATCTGTATTACAGATGTGAAGGTATTGGTTTTTGACACACATAATATATCACCAAAGAATCAACAATTCCAGTAATGGTATCAATTACTAAAGTTTATTCTTTTTTTTATTCTTTTTTTATGGTTTACTGTACTAAACGCAAATCATTTGCCACACACCACGAACAATATTTCAAAAATATTTATTTTAGCCTGGTTACATGTATTTTACAAACTATAAATGATAAAACATTCTAAAAAATCTATGATACACAATAAAATAATATTTGGCTTAATATTTTTTGAGGCTGAACATAATTCTTAAGAACCATTCGACCGCCATATTTTTTTTTCATTCGACATAATTTCTACAAACCCTATACATGTAAAAACTGTTCACATGGTGACGGTTCAGTGTCATATTTATTTCAGAGTTCGACTATAGACATCCTAACATTATGCATGAAAAAGACACGGTAGAGAAACAAATAATACTTGTTTTTTATTCCATTACTAATCATGGATATAGCTTGTGCTACATAGTTTTAGCTCCTCACAGTTATTAACCTCAAATTTTATAGTTATCCTCTTATTTCAAGTATGACAAGCCAATTTGTTAACAACACAGCTATGGTAAGGACGCCCATGAAATATACGCCTTAATATATTCAGGAAAAATGAAAACAATTTTAATATTTTCTTAACAGCATTAGTTTTGATGAATGTGAATTGTGGTGTTTGCACTTGTATATATCGCGTCTCTGCTAAAAGTTCTACGATATAAAGGTATCTTTCCGCTACAAAAATCTATTCTGTTTTGTTTGAGACAAATTTCTTAACATGAAAAGTGCTGGGAGCAACTTCCTCATGTTCGGGAATTGTATAAAATTTAGCTGTCTTTCCATGAACTGCAGACATAGATGTAATACGCACTGGAATAATGTTACATAACAGAATAAATAAACAATGCACAACCAGCTCCCAGTACTTTTCAGAATAGTAGGAATAATACCTACACGTGTTTAAAAAAAATCAGAATTTATAGTGAAGTGTCTATCGTTGAACCTTTGATATTTTAGAGAAGATGGACCCCCATTCTAGCACGTTACTGTAAAAATGTGCTCCCTACGGCTCTATATAAAGTCTACACACTATCAATTTAGTTGGACTATAAAATGTGGATTAATATATTTTAGAATATGTCTTTATTTTGGTTCAGTAAAGCTTGTTTCGTATCCATTCTTATTTTTACAAACTACGATAATAGCTTGATCCACGCCTCAAGTACAGAGAAACTGTCTGTCAAACTAAGAAATGACGTCATCTCAGAAAGTACAGCGAGATCAAGCTGGCTTTCATTCTAAGTGCTATTTTGGCAAGATAATTTGCATATCCATTTATCGTTATAACATTTATGAGAAACGAAAGTATTTGAGTGTGTTTTAAAAAGAACTATAGTATTTATTCATCGAGATTCATTAGTACCGTTTTAACGTGACGTCATAATATCTTTCCCGAACCTCTGCATAGGCTGACGTAAATATGGGTGTCCTTAACCTAGCTGCGAAATTCATTTCAGTTATGATTTTTTGTTTGTAGTATTATTCTCTTGAATGCCGTGTAATTTGAATAGAATCTAAAAATTAAAAAAACCCTGCAGCATTCATTTATACATTCATTAATTCTATAAAATACATGTGAAAGCATTCAAATCAAGATGAAATAAACAATACAAAATTCTTAAGTAATACATGTCCATGTGTATGTTTTTTTTCGACAATATTTGGTAAGGAATGAATGAATACTGAACGCCTTGGTAAATGTATCATTGCCTTCCATTTTCTATCGCAAAATAGTACGCATTCGCTAACAAATTCATTTGAGCCAAATTTAAAAGACAGATTCATTTTCCCACATCGTCTCTGTTTTTTTTTTTGGTTGGTTTGGGACCTGTACTCATCGAATGACAAACCAATTCAACTTTTCCGTGAAATGTGAAGATAAAAAAGTAATGATTCTAAAAAGTCACAAAAATTCCTCAATGGCTCTTGTTCCCATCTTTGATGTTTTCAGAGGTCTATGTTTGCTTTGCTCAAAACAAAAAATTAAAAGAATTAAAAAAAAAAAGAAGAAAGAACAATGAGGGCAAGTATCCCTTAAGTTATCTCTATGTGGCAGAATTGTTAAAAAAAACCCAGAACATTTCTTATTATCAGTTTATATAAAATGCATAAATAGACAATAATAATGATTTGAAATTTCAACAATTTTTTTAAGCAGGGCCAACAGAAAGATAAACATCCACAAGGATGTCAATTTTATCAAGAAACCTTTATTAAAACTAGGAATTAATAGAACACAAATATTAATAAAAATGAGACTGTCTATTTTATGAACATTGTTTATGAGTGACTTGTAATAATTCTGTTGAATTAGCCATTTTTTGTCAGTGACGGTTTATAATTGTGTTCTATTTATATAATAGTGTAATTATTTGGATGTACTATGCCGAAATAGTAGTGAGGGTCTGACACATGGTGCACGATCCATTATGCTGACTCTTGTTTGTATACGACAATTTAATTAAATTCTCAATCCCAAACCTGTTTGGAGACCAATCGGAACTCCTCGGATGTCTCGCGAACTTGAGTTAGCGAGACATCGGAGGAGTTCCGATTGGTTTGCAGACGTTAAATCTAAATGAAAATTTTCTTAAACATTCTTTAATCAAGCGTTATATCAGAAAGCGTTTTAATGACTCCGAAGTACCAATAATTTTGGTTACTGATAAATTCAATTATTTGTTAGAGAATTTTTCATTCAGATCCTTGTCAATAATATCAGTCTTTTAGAAATGATATTCATTTATTTCTTGTTTTGTGACAAATGTATAAAAACTACGTTTATATACTTGAAAATACGTTCCGGAAAGTAATGGGGTTTGTGGCGTAATCGGTAACGCATTGGACTGACGTTCTCGAGATCGTGAGTTCGATCCCCAGCGTGGGTGCTAAATACATTTTCTCTAGAAAATACAGCCGTGCACTAATTCGGCATAGTATGCTTACGCTATATAAATCCTTAGAACACTATGCGAAAATAGTTGGGTATTGATTTTATAGAGACAAACTGACAGGAAGCATAATGATGCATTATCCATCCATTTCCTTTCTTTATTAATCTGTATCCGAAGAGAAAAACAAAAAGCAATATAAAAGAAAGATTAACAACAAACTTTACTTTCAACTCCTCACACCTGCTATTCCAGATTATAAAAAAAAAATTAAGTGTAAAATTACCCAAAACGCAGAGATTTATAAGAATGACAGATGTTTACCTAGTGACGTCTTATTAACATCATTGTCTCTGTCACCATTGATTCACGCTGAATAGTAGGATACCAAGCTCTGTACCAGTATGCCGAGGACCAGGGACCGTTAAGAAAGGCCCCGTGACACCTGTTAAACCACCAGCCCCCTCCTTTCCCATAAAAAGCAGCACAGTTACCACTCCATCTGTCGTTATCCTTGTCTGGTGAACTAAACGACATCCCAGACAGATCACTGTAATTGGGATAACCAGTGTCTAACATACTGTCACCTGTAGAATTAGAGACAATATATTACAGTAGTCATTGGGATTATCAGTGTTTAACTTACTGTAACCTGTAAAATTAGAGACAATATATTACAGTAGTCATTGGGATAACCAGTGTCTAACATACTGTCTCCTGTAGAATTAGAGTCAATATATACAGAAGTCATTGGGATAACCAGTGTCTAACACACTGTCTATTGTAGAATTAGAGACAATATATTACAGGAGTCATTGGAATAACCACTGTCTAACATACTGTTTCCTGTAGAGACAATATATTACAGTAGTCATTGGGATAACCAGTGTCTAACATACTGTCTCCTGTAGAGACAATATATTACAATAGTCATTGGAATAACTAGTGTCTAACATACTGTCACCTGTAGAATTAGAGACAATATATTACAGTAGTCATTGGGATAACCAGTGTCTAACACACTGTCTATTGTAGAATTAGAGACAATATATTACAGGAGTCATTGGAATAACCAGTGTCTAACATACTGTCTCCTGTAGAGACAATATATTACAATAGTCATTGGAATAACTAGTGTCTAACATACTGTCACCTGTAGAAATAGAGACAATATATTACAATAGTCATTGGGATAACCAGTGTCTAACATACTGTCTCCTGTAGAGACAATATATTACAATAGTCATTGGAATAACTAGTGTCTAACATACTGTCACCTGTAGAATTAGAGACAATATATTACAGTAGTCATAGGGATAACCAGTGTCTAACATACTGTCTTTGTAGAATTAGAGACAATGTATTACAGTAGTCATTGGTATAACCAGTGTCTAACATATTGTCACCTGTAGAAATAGAGACAATATATTACAGTAGTCATTGGGATAACCAGTGTCTAACATACCGTCACCTGTAGAATTAGAGACAATATATTACAGTAGTCATTGGGATAACCAGTGTCTAACATACCGTCACCTGTAGAATTAGAGACAATATATTACAGTAGTCATTGGGATAACCAGTGTCTAACATACTGTCTATTGTAGAATTAGAGACAATATATTACAGTAGTCATTGGGATAACCAGTGTCTAACATACTGTCACCTGTAGAATTAGAGACAATATATTACAGTAGTCATTGGGATAACCAGTGTCTAACATACTGTCACCTGTAGAAATAGAGACAATATATTACAGTAGTCATTGGGATAGCCAATTAAAATGTTTATTACCATTCATATATCCCATTGAGCTTGAAAAAAAGATACCACAGAGTGTGACACGTCTGTTTCATATTTGGATATTTTACTTGAAAAAGACGTAAATAGTAATCTAACAAGAAAGCTTTATGATAAACGTGATGACTTTAACTTTTCAATCGTCAACTTCCCTTACCTATGCAGCAATATACCCTCATCACCTGCATATGGGGAGTATATCTCTCAGTTGATTCGATACGCAAGAGCATGCAATCTCGTTGAAAGTCATAATTTCGTAAGTTCTGTGGTCGATAAATGACATTGTCAGCAAATACAATCTATAATTAAGTCATATGCTGACTGACGTTTTTCATACTAATTGTTAGGTCATTATTTACACACTGAATTTTCGACGGATTTTCCCCTGATATACCATCATGACAAGGAGCACACGCCGGGTGTGACCGGTCGGCAGGGGATGCTTACTCCTCCATGTCACCTGATCCCACCACTGATGTTTTTAAGGTCGCGCTTGCTCTTCTCCCGATTCGTACTGTTTTAATGGACTTGAATGCTGTTCCTTATCTCCATATTTCATGGATGCAATTTCTTTAACTTAATAAATAAAGGTTTTAATCATATTTTAACGCAACCAAAGAAACCGACATCCCCATATCACATTATTTAACTGAGTCGTTATCTCCTTATTTCATTCTATAACATATCCACATAATCATTATCTGTGCTCTGACATTTGCTTATCGAGTCTAATGACACCAAGTAGAGTTTAAATAATGTAAAAGCAATGGTTTATGTTGAAGAATGTGACATATGCAAAATAAATTGGCTCATAAGAATCGTTACAAGGACTGGTAAATCATATGTACAAAAATAATAGCTGTAGCATGAAATATTTCAAATTATTGTTCTTTTTTCAACGCAATAAATGCTTTTCTCAGGCCATATTACCATTTATATCAATTTGTGTAGCTACACGGGAAAAGAAAAAGGCGTGGGTACTATTTATAAATAAAGTGCCTTGAATATACTTTGACCTTATTTAAAAAGAATGATTGTTATGAACTGGGAGGGGGAGGGCAAAAATCTGTTCAAGAATAAAAAACAGAGGTTTCATACATTTTGCTGGTGGAAGACATGACATAAGATTAAAATTGCCAGAGCCCTTTTTATACATTTTATACATTAAGCATCTCTTTTTTTTTTCTAATTCCCTCTCCTTATTTTCACTTCCCCCTTTCTCTCACACTCTATCTCCCTTTCTTTGTATTGATAGTAAGACTAACTTATTACTTACCCAAGGTTCCGGTAGCAGGCCCTCCAAGAAAAAGTTTGTAGTTGTCTTTTTCATCAGACACGGAAAACTGAAGATAAAATTCGTATAAAGGTCGGCCATTTTGTAATGTTATAGAGACGTAGAGGGATGAGTTGCTTCTCTTGGTAAGCTGGTGAATGACGTCATTTCCTTCAATACGTTATTGTAAGAGTGTATTAGGTATTGAAAAAGTAAATAAACGAATTGTTCGAATATGTTAATTATTCTTACGGTAAATATGCGCTTTTTTAATGATGGTTGAACTTATCATGTAATATATCACAAATATAATAAACATTTACACAGGTACGTCATGGTATATCATAAATGAGTATTAAATGTGTTATATTATTGAATTGTAGGGAATCGATACTATAAAAAAGATTATGAATTATGAAATCATAAATATAAATTTCGAAAAGTATAATAATTCAATAAAATTCCATTCCTTGCAATATACGCAGATGCAAATACGTACACATTGCTAATGATATTAACAAATATTAATAAGAATTTACCAATCCAGTAAGAGTCATTAGGGGTTCCAAACCCATTCTTGTACTCCGCCCACGTTCTGTTAAAACTCACGGATCCACTCACCCGTTTCTGGATTGCCTACAAGTTATCAACAGAAAATAAATATCTTGAAGTCTGACGATCTTTTGTTTATCTTTCTGTGTTGTTTTACTTGTAATTTCAAGAGAGAGAGAGAGAGAGAGAGAGAGAGAGAGAGAGAGAGAGAGAGAGAGAGATATCTTACTGTCCACCCTCCGCCCTCAGTCTCCATATCACAGTACACGCTAACCTGGGACTCGTTATGAAAGGGATATATTTCATAAACACCAGACTGTGTTTGTCCTTGTAGATAGTGGTCCTTGCAATCCGTTATTTTTGAACCTTTAAGAAAGAATGACTCTTAATAATACATACCCCCCCCCCCCCCCCTCCATACCCACACCCACCCACACACACCCAGAGAGAGAGAGAGAGAGAGAGAGAGAGAGAGAGAGAGAAAGAGAGAGAGAGAGAGAGAAAGAGAGAGAGAGAGAGAGAAAAAATACCTTTCTTAACGATTTGCAATGTTCTGTTTTTTAGAAGTTCGTAAATTTCGGCTATGTTTCTATTAAACTTCTGCTCAGTTTCTTGAATCGTTTTCTCACAAATCATTACAATCTTCTTGTTTTTTCTTCTCTGTTTCCGACTCAAAGAATTAACCCGTGTTTTCAATGTGTCTACCGTCTGCTGTAAAGCGTTATCCTTACTTAGAGTATCAACTCGTCTTTCCAAATTTTCTATCTTCTGTGCTGAAATCTTGTCCTGAATTAACAGAATATCTACATGGCTTTTCAATGATTTTACATTCTGCGCTAAAGTATTGTCCCGAATTAAGAAGTCAACCTGCCTTTTCAATGTATTTAGCGCCGGCTGTAGAGAGGAGACAATCGTTACCGTAGACTCCATGCTTCGCTTCACAGAACTGACATCGTCCACTACTGCCTTTACATCCTTGACCACGGCTAAACAGATGAGAGTTTCCTGGTTGATGATCTGCCGAAGAACGTCGATTTCCTGAATGTCACGTCTTTCATTGATCAAAGCCGTAGAGTTCGGATCATAAGTACCAGTTAACAAGGAACCCGTTTTAGCTTCTGATTTTGGAACAAAAATCAGTAAAAGAATGGAAAACATCATCTTTTCTATTTAAATTAGAACCTACCCAACAGAACAATGTTGTGTCTAAGTCAGAGATTTCATACGGTATATATAGAGAGGTTTGGGGATTTCCTCAATCAGAATGTAAAAAAAAACCCCAGAATACTTGAAAGTACTTGATGCTTTATCTATGTAAGGAATCACTTACACTGGGCCGGAGGACAACATACGTATCTCACAAATGTTTTGGTTACATCATTAAGTTGTTTGTAGACGAAAAGAGAAATGATAACAGAGACAGAAGTGTTATGACAATTGAACCACTTTGTTGTTTTCTGTAGATAATGTAAACAGAGCATTTTTTTTACAATCACATGCTACGTGTTTATTTTACACTTGAATATATAAATACTTCATGTAAAATACGGACAAAGAAAATCAGAATATGAAACTAGTCAATAAATGCTATTATATTTATATCAACAAGTATTGTGAGTTTCTGTTGTTAACTTAACTCTCCTCTTCATATCTTGCTCATTTATATTTCAAATATTTTACCTGATTTGTTTGTTTGTTTTTTGGTAAAATGAATAGGAATATGAAATAAAAATTTTACAAATATATTCGAAATGTATATTTATCGATATCTAGATTTCATATTTAACTTGGAAATTAGATTTTAACTCGAATTAAAAGTCCTTACTCTAACCCTGAAAAATAAACTGAAAAGACTATATGAATTATAACGATTTTTTTCCTTACAAGTGTCGTTTATTAATATTCAATCTAAAATTAATGTATCCTTCACACAAAGTATTTTTATCATTTTTTCTTCAATGGCACAGATTGTTTGATTTAATAAGAAATGATATTGTTTAAGTAATTAATTGTGAGACAAATAGCTTATTTGCTTAAACACATGCATTTTTTTTCAAATGTTAAAAAAAAAACGATTTTAACATGATTACTGGCAGAAAGTTATTCTATGAGGAAATATAATATAATTTAAAAATTTCAAAATGATTCGTTATTTCATTGATAAGAAAAAAATGAAATGGATTAAACATTGATAGGTAACTCCGGCACCTTGCCAAGGTGTGAACTTCATAAGCGACCCCTGTATCGCGCTATGCCTATTTACGGTGGTAGATTGTAAAGTTTTAATAAAATATTTCAAGATTTAAAAGCAATAAAGAGGTAGAGCCATGTTTAGCCAAAATTGGCCTAATGTCAAAAAATTGCGAAGTTTTGTTATGTTATGAATTAACATTTTTTCTTTCAGGATATATGTTTGTTTTTTGTCTAATATTTTGTAATTAAAGCGAAAATCAGTTTTTAGCAAAGCACCTTCATTCCGAGAGATTATAAAAATATGAACGTAACGTCACCGAATGTACTGGATCCAGGTTGAACAATAATGAATATAATAATTTGTGACATCGTGTGTTTACTGGACGAAAGATAGTCTAAATGATAATGGTAACGCTGGAAAATAAAAAAGTCATATAAATGTATATTTCTTCTTTTTATTACCATAAGACCTGAACAGCTGTGAAAGGGATATTTATATGTTCTACAAAAAAAAAAAAAAAAAAAAAAAAAAAAAAAAAAAAAAAGAACCTAATTTAATTATACATGTAGTTCAGGATAACTTCTACCTTTTTCATTCGACCCTCATTTACTCTTAACAATTATTTTACCTTTATTAATGAATTAATGAATCTATACATCGTGAAAGTAGTTCTCTATTTGAAACATGATTTATGAAGCCGAAAATCGAATCATTTTTTGTTCAACTGGTGAAAGGCCTGAATCATAGTGGGAGTAACAGAACCTGGCCTTGCACATCGCATGATAAACAGTAAGTTATATTTTAGTAAACATATGGTATATTATCTGTTTTGCATGATAAAAATATTTTATTTCTTTTTAACCTCTGTAATCAATGTAAAGATTTTGGAATTTCCGGTATATTGGATGTGTCGGTGGAAGTTACAGATTGCCACGTGTTTTCAATTTACATGTAATCCGAAATTCCTCTGTCTAACCTCCACTTTAAGATTGCGAAAAGTTCGGGAAAGGGGGAAGGGGGGCTCAGATCGGTAGCCATGATATTGCAAAGTGGAGATTCAGCAACAATAGTCAGTTGGTGTCGCTACCATGTCACTTTGAAAATTTTGAGAAAAGAATGAGTCTGAGAAATCTCGGATTAATATAGAAAACGTAGATCTGGGCACAGGAGTCGACAGTTTTATCCATAAAGCAACGTAAACAATAACCAGTGAGCTTTGCGAGCACTCGCGAAGCTCACTGGTTATTGTTTACGTTGCTTTATGGATAAAACTGCCGACTCCTGTGATAGTGGAGTGGTAACCTTTTCTTTTTTTATTTTTAAAGAAAACCACAAACCCTAGGAAAAGGAGATTGATTATCATTTCAGAAGAAGTCGTGTACAAATGTAGATTAAAGTAGAATAAATTCAGATTTCAAAATATATTGAACCAGGTGAGTGTAAATCAGGTTCAGTACAACTGTACAATCAGGACATTTAGCTACGTAGCTTGAATTACCCACCATAGCTTTATTTAGCTACTTCAGGTAGCTTTAGGCCAAACAGAAAAATATGTTTGTTTACTGTTACATGCTGAAATACAATAGAATCGGTAGGTAGGATTTTGTATTTATTTTATTGAATTTTTTATACACAAATTCACATGAATTGGTTGAAATAAAACAGTTTTATCATTGGTGATGCTTTTTGTTTCTAAAACTTTCAATTTCGACTTCAAATACTTCACTGATTAAGATGCATGTAAAAATTAAACTGACCTGCGAGTGACTTCGGGATTTTTACGAGTTAAAAATTTGAGTCGGCGATTAAATGTAGGATCGCTCGGGTAACCGTAAACAAACATTTTTTTATTACGCCTTATTTAGCTGTTTCATTGTAACTTTTCACAATTTTGCTTTTTATTTAAAATAGATAAAAAAGGCGCAAGTATATGACCACTAATATTTATACTAGGAAAATTTCAAAAGGCAGTCCTAAGAACATTGCTGCGTTTGAACACTTTTAAGCAAAGGATGTATTTCTGTTGTTTGAGTAACTGTACACCACCTCTGTACGATGAGCTGTAAATATTAAAAACAAAAACAAAAAAATAATAACACAAGTTATGCTGTGGATACATGCAAGATATATTTTTTTGTAAAATGAGTATATTTTTATAGAGTTGATTGCCTTTGTATATTAAGATTTTTTAAATTGATTAATTATTAATTAATTACTCCAGGAACAGTAATTATCACTCACAGAGTTGCATATATTTTGGACATTCTGGAAAGTATTGGCATTAAAGAATTTCATCTAAATCACCCATAGTACACCCATAGTACCCATAGTATAAGAACACATTTTATATAACCTTTAAACAGGTCATTGGTACATAATATATCTAGAGCTCCAATTTCAAATTTTGAGCATATATTATGAGATAATATATAGTATCTATACATATTTTATAGTTGACATGCATTTGGTTTTAAAGGTATAATCATATAATCAACAAACACAAGTTGATACATATATATAAACTAAATATAAATATATGCTTTGTTTCAACTGACATGGCATTTTGTAAAACATAATTAAATATTAGCAGCATCATGGTGTATTGTTTGAAATGCAGTGAAAAAAAAATATGAGAACATAGATTATACAGTTAATAGAACATTATTGACAGTCCTTGCTCATATATGTATGCTTTCATTTTTAGGACAAAAAATATTGGTGATTGATTAGGAAAAACCCCCATCACAGCTCAATTATGAATTTTAAAGACAAATAAGTAGAATAGATTATTCTCAAAGAATTTAGAGTCATTTATTTCTGATCATCTGTTGTCTATTTGTCTGATCTGTCTGTCTGTTAACTTTTTACATTTTCAACTTCTTCACAGACCCTTTTTCAAGGGGAGATAATCAAGAGAAGGCAAAAATAGGATGGGGTCAATAAAAAAGAACCACTGGCCAGAGAAGATGAAACATTTGTGTAAGGTTTTCTAACTGATCAAGATTCAAGTATGTTCAAATCATGACCCCATGGTTATGGTGGAGCTACAATGGTTGATAAATGTATCACATAGTAATATATAGGAAGAAATCTTTAAATATCTTCTCCTAAAGAGTAGCAAAACCTTGATTTCATATTAATATCGAAGCATCCTCAGGTAGTGTAAATTCAATTTTGTTCAAATCATGACCCCTGGGGGTATGGTGGACCACAATAAGCAATAAAATTTTACATAGGAATAAATAAATAAATAAATAAATAAATAAATAAATAAATAAATAAATAAATAAATAAATAAATATATATATATATATATATATATATATATATATATATATATATATATATATATATATATATATATATATATATATATATATATATATAATGCTGATGAGGAACAGAAGGGCCTTAGTGATGTAGATGGCATTGTGGACCATGGGCCTCTTGTTTTTACATGAATATTATGTGCACATACATGTACTTGCAGTACTTAACATGTTCTTCATTTCTCTTTTTCACTTTCATCACTGCTAGAGGATTCACCGATGACAGCAGCATCCATCACGAAATCTGACCAGTTTTGGACACCATGCATGGACTCAACATTATGCTTTGCAACACCAAGGTACCAGATTACAGAGGCTATGTGGGAGCAGACTCCAACTACACGAGTTTCCGCACGACATCTGCAGTACCAAGCAGCGATGTTGGACTCGGAGAACTGTATCCAGAGGAGGTATATCTTAGAGGAATGTGTCTGCTCTGAAGCTTGACTCGAATAAGTCCAGGAAACTCTTTATGTAACAAGATACTGACATCACCATCAAGGTACTCTTGAACATAACTAGGGCATGGTTTCAGCTGATGTACCCCACATGTCAAGTTTCTGATTTCTTCCTCATCAATTTTAGGAAAAACAATTGATTCGGGAACCATGTCCCAGTTTACAGATTTTTTGTCCTAGGAATTTTCCTCGA